TGGCAAACAGCACGCAGAGAGGAAGGCAACTTCTCACCCTCTTGGTTGAAAGGATGGAGGATGTTTATGCTGAAGAAAAGATGGAGAAGGGAAGCATGCAGACCAGCTGCTCTCAACTATCGGAATGATTAAAACATGGGAAAGGAAAGAGACCTACTGTGATGCTCAAGGCAAAGAACAAAAGGAAGTGATGCCAGCTACAGAACGTGAGCTCATGCTGGGTAACTACAACTAAAACGGTGTAAGCGGCTGTAAGAAGCAGGCAGTTGCTTGCTGTTTGACATTTTGGACCGAGCAGTACCATCATCACATTTTGCCACTGTCCTCTTAAAGGACACTGTTTTTCCTGTTCCAGGATCCAATCCAAGATTATGCATTACATTTAATTAAAATATCTTTTTACCAGTAGTTTTTGTTTTTGTTTTAATCTCCTGGAATAGTTCCTAAGCCTTTCTTTGTCTTTCATGACTTTGACTTTCAAGAATACAAACCAGTTATTGTTATTTAATTGTGTCTGGTACATCCTCACAAACAGATTCAAGTGATACATTTGTGGCAGGAATATCACATACGTGATACTGGGTCTTTCTCGGTGCAGCACAACCAGAGGCACATGATGGTTTGTCTTAGGGGATGATGGTGACCTTGAGTTGGTTAAAAATGTGTCCACTACATTTTCCCATTGAGAAGTTACTGTTTTGACCTTTGCAATTAGTAAGTCATTAAGGAGGAAACACTTTGAGAGTATGTAAACATTCTGTTCCTCAAACTTTCACTAATTATAGTATCTGGAAATAAGCACGTAAACAGTGCTAGAAAACAAAATGTTGAAGATAGGTGAAGTAGTGAGATAGTAAATGAGATAATAATAATTTCACATAGAAGATAAAAAGCCCAGAATTACTAACAGATCCCAGGGTGCGGAAAAAGGAATCAGAGGAGTGAGCAAGGTTGTTGTCCATCCACTGTCTTGTTCTGACGTGGCTTCAGAAACCTCCATGGGTTGTAATGGACACAGAAGTCCCTATATAAGAAGGAGGAGGGACTGGGAGCTCCTGAGTCAGGATAAAGAGCCTGCCATGCTGGCCCTCAAGACCTAGGGAAAACTGGCAGGACCATGGGCTCTGATGTAAGGAGTCCACACATTTAACTAATTTACCTCCCATCTGCACTTATCTGCTCCTGAAACGTTCTCTATCAGAACAGTATGTGCAAAGGGTCCATCCAGGGCACATGCCAAAAAGGCCCAGAATCCTTGTATTGAGGCAGGTTAGTATAAAGCTAGGAAAATTCCTTGGCAAGTGGAATGGGGAAACGGACAGTTAAAGAGAAGGCTGAACAATTTACAGCCAGCTAGTAAATCACAAGATTTTTGTCTTCCCTAACCAAGGACACTCAGAAGCAAATGGTTTACATCTTCCAGACCATGCCAGGGCAGACGCACCTCGGTCCTACTCCCTTTCTGGTGACGTCTTTGAAGGTAAAACTGACCAGAGAATGATCCTGATCCCTCTAAATGCTCATTTTGATGCACAAGAGTGTCAAAGAACACATCTGGAAAGCTGATGAATATTCTGATTGAGACCTCCCCTAAAATTCCCCACCAGATAAAAACCCTTAAGACAAAGGACCCAGAGCGAGCTGTCCCTTGAGTATGCCTGTGCCTGCATCTTCCCCACCTCTCCCCAGCCCTGCCCCCCCCCCCACCTTCTTCCCTCAGGCATGTATCTTTGCTTTCTTTCTCCTAAATTCTAAAGCTCCCAGGAGATTTGCAACCAGGGGAGCAGTAGGCAGTGGCAGCTTGTTCAGGGATATACCCTGAACCTGTCTCCAGAGTCCTCCTTTTGCTCATGTACCTTATTTCCTGAGTCCATGCAGCCCAGCTGGCTCATTTCTTCTGCCTCTGAACTTTCTTTCTAAAGGGCCAAGGCTGCCGAAACCGGTTTGGCTCAGTGGATAGAGCGCTGGCCTGCGGACTGAAGGGTCCCAGGTTCGATTCCGGTCAAGGGCATGTACCTGGGTTGCGGGCACATCCCCATTGGGTGATGTGCAGGAGGCGGCTGATCAATGTTTCTCTCTCTCATCGATGTTTCTGACTCTCTATCTCTCTCCCTTCCTCTCTGTAAAAAATCAATAAAATATATTTTAAAAAAAATAAAAAAAAATAAAGGGCCAAGACAGCTGTGCCTAGGATCACTCCTATTGCTATGATCTTGCTTCTATCTTAAGCCGTCCTTTGTTTCACTGTCCCCAGCTTTAATAAACATACCCTCAGAGTCACATGGACTCATGTCTTTAAATCTGTCCTGCATAAAGTCAAGAACACACACATTGCAGACCACCTGGGTCCTGGTCCCTTTCTGGGGACAGCATCAAGGTTATATGAAGAAGACAAAGGCCATCCCAAAGGTTAGAAAGTCAGGGGTTGTTTAACCAGAACTACTAGTATTTGGACCAGTGTACTATTTCTGTACACCATCCAAGAACGGAACTCAACAACTTCAACCCTGTCCTATATTCTATCCTCAGTAAGTGAAGCACCACGAACAGGAAGTCCTTGGCACTTGTCAAGGTGGACTGTTTTGACATCAGTTCTCTGATTATTCCAGAGAGCCCTGCTAAGGTCCAACGCTGTTCTTTATTGCCTCTCCAGATGAATAACTATGTGGCCCTACCTCAGGGCCATTACCCTATTCCATCCCATTTCCTCTTTTTGCACAAGAGGACAAATGTCTTCCGTTATATCCATAAGAAGTAATCAAATTTTTTTAAAAAATATTTTTTTTAAAATTCTGACTGTGGCATTGCTATAAATAGATTCTATTGTTTAAAAAATAAAAGCCAACCTTTCAGAGGGCTCCATTTGACCTACACCATGCAAGTTAAAAGGGCGTAAGAAACCAGAGCTCTAGGTTTCCATCCATTACTGGTTCAGATTTGGCCCGGAGGCCAAATATATAGGAACTTCTGTGTCCATTACAACCCATGGAGGTTTCTGAAGCCATCTTCAGATAAGCTTATAGAGGATTTCCTCAG